AGTAGTAACAAGAAGCTACTAGGAACAAGTGCATAGCTAGTAGTAACTGCGGAGTGTGAATTGGGCTCTAAGTAAAAGCTAAATGCGAAAAGCGCTGCTTTTTCCAGCAAGGCTTGATCAAGCTAGCGGGCAAAACCACACACGTCACCTCAAACCACGTATGGTCGTTTCTCACATCGGAGAGAGGATGTGTTGACGTGTTGGTCTTAACGAATTATGGGTTGGCGCAGCCAACCTATCGTGCATATGATGGCGCTGCCATCATGCTTCTCGTGGCTCTGCCAGAATTCTTCTCCTGGCTCCGCCATGAAGTGGACTGACTTGGCTCCGCCATAGTCTTAGAGCGGATCTTCCGCCTTTCTCGCTGTCCCTTTCGTAGTTGCTTGCGGTGCTCCTCAATCTCGCGTTCTTCCGGCGTTTCCTTGAGACTGATGGTCTTCTTCCGCAAATACTCCTCCCACAGCGCGTTCTTCATAGATTTTGTAAGTCCATCAGCGTGCTGTCGATGGGTTGGTACCCAAAACAACTTGTAAATCTGCTGCTCCAAGAGGTCCTTCGCAACAAGCAGATCTAACATAGTTTGTCTTTCCGCCGGAATTTGACCAGTTGCTCCAAGATGATCGAAAAGAGACTTCGCATCTGTCACGATGCCACCTCCAACACGGAGCTTCTCACGCCAGTCGGAGCCAACTTTGAAAACGCCATGAAGCATCATGTCTGCAATCAGGCGGATGTACAAGTGCCTGTCCACCGCCACACTGAGCGAGCATGATTCTGCCGCCATGGAACTTCGAACAACTCTGCTGCTTTTGTTGGTCGTGTAGTCGATTGCTGCAGCTGGCTGTGGTCCATGAATGACATCTTCATTGGACAAAAAGTGAATCGCACCAAGTTGCGATTTGCCATCCTTCTCCTTGCCCAAGCTGGCGTCAAAGTAGGTCACCAAAAACAACTTGCCACGAATCCGAGGGTATGGCAGAACAGATCTGCCTTGGCGGGCTTCTTCTTTGCATTCTTCAAAAAGTTGGAGTGCCGCCTTATAGTCACCCATCGTGGCTTTTGTTGCATACTGCGCCAGCTTGCTCGTCTTGTACAAAAGTTGCGGCATTGACTGTTGGCCAGGCCATCGCAATCTCATCACCAACTGTCGATATGCCGTGAGCTGCTGGGCATCAAGTGGCTTGTCATCATTCTTGGGCTCTAGCTTCATGTTTGGAAGGGCGATCTTGGCGATGTAGTTTGACACGTCGTCAAAAAGTTCTTCACCCTTTTGCTTGAGGTCCACGCCTAGGAAGGTCAAAGGAATCGACTTCCACTCTTTGATCGTGAACATCTTGTTGATGTCACTCTTCAACTTCTGAAAGCGTGGATCGCCCTCATCGCCAAACAAGAGTCCATCATCAACATGCAAGCTGAGAATACTCCAGGCTTTGTTGCCTTCCGCGGCCACGAAACTGCTCTTGCTGATGGGCAGTTCTTCCAGAGGTGTGGTCGTGAGCAGCTTGCTAGCACGCAAGTACCAAAGCCTTGGGCTTTCAACCAAGCCATATGCAGATCGTAGGATCTTCATCAACTCTCCAGCTTTCACCGGAGGCTCTCCCTCAACTGCTGGTAGACCTTCTTCTGGAGCTCTGACATAGACGTCTCTGGTGAGGTTCTCACCTGAAAGGAATGCCGTGGTGACATCAAATGACCATCCTTTCCATCCATTCCGCCACAGCTTTTGACGTCCGAACTGCCTGCAGCGTTGCTGTAGGGCTGTCGCTCCTGAAGTGACCCAATCCAGGATCTCGGTGTCCAGGAACTACCAGACGGGATTTCGCCACCAACGGTGCCAGGAGTTGAGTCTGCTTGTTGACTCGCACCATTCGCAAAGGAGCCTTGAAAATGAAGTGCCTGGGAATCTTTGCTTCCTCCTCCTTGGACAGCCGCTTGATGACTTTATTGCGGACCCACTGTTGCCACTCTTTGGCATCTGCTTTGAGGAACTCTGCACGCTCCTTCTCATCAAAGAACTTTGGATCCAATTCCTTGCCGCTCTGCTTGAGCTTAAGGAGCATCACCTCTGCCAGCAGGTGATCATGCAGATCTTCCAGCCAAAGATGCTCAAACTGTCGTCGCTCCTCCTCTTTCAGGTTGGCCTCATAGATCCCATCAGGAAGCTGGATGTAGGTTTTCTGTTCTGTTGGCGGTGGCTCACTCTTCAAAAAGAAAGTCATGCCTCGCCATGGAAAAGATGACCTCCGCCGGGGATGCTTTGCAGCTTCCTCTTGATCTTCTTCCACCATGAAGATGTTGTCCGGATCCTTGCCCATCAAAATTGTCACCCGTGCTCGCTTGCGAGGTGGCTTCATGAACCGTTTCCGGGGAAAGCGATGTAGCCTCGCAGCCGTGATCGGCAATCCAGTGAGTTGCCTGAGCAGTTCCACTTCATGGCGGGTGATCCATTCGTTGGCAGGTCCTTCTGAAACTGTGGAAGCGAGCACCTGCGTGAACAAAGCTGCGCTCGGTCTGGCCCTCTTCAAGGGGAGTTCTGAAGTAGTGGATCCTTGCAATTTCCGCTTAATGCTGAAAGGGACATCATCTGTGAGACGCTGTCTTCGGGCCTCTGTAGGCAATTGCTCCCAATCTGGTGGATGATCAGGACGTGGTGTATCTGCCGACGAAGTCGGTGAATAGTCGGATAGACCACCTGAATCATCAATCGGCACATCGACACCAGATGTAGGGGCAGGTTCCAATGGTGGCTCAGCCACGGATACTGGTGGTGGCTCAGCCACATCCGGAGGTGCATCCTCCAAAGCCAGGCGCCGCCTTACGACACGCGGTGCCGGTTCCAATGGCGCTGCCACGGGTTGAGCAGGTAGAGGAACACGAGGTGGTTCTTCTCGATGTAGTGGAGGTTCAACTGCCGCTGGCAACTCCTTCCTCTTCTTCTGCCGTGGTAGTTGAGACATCTGAGGTCGCTGATTCAGCAGCCTTCGAACCGCTTTTGTTTCCCTCAAGATGTTCTTTGCTCTCAGCCTCTGTGGATCTTCGGGAGGACGAGGTTCTCTCTTCTTTCGAGGTCTCGGAGGCGGTGGTTTTGCTCGAAGGTCCTGGTAGATGTTAGATCTTGTTGGATCTCTCAGAAGCTCTTGGATGTCCAGGACGTCTTCCTTCACCGGTTCCGAAAGTGCCAGCTCCTCTGGAGTTGCAAGCCTCATGTTCTCCTCGGCTAGTAGGAGTAGTCGTCCTCGCCAGCTCACAAAGTATCTTTTCTGTTGTTCTTGAACCAACACAGTAGCCGGACCACGCCATTGGCCACTGTCACGGTTGTAGCGCTTGAGCTGCGGCACCCAAAAGTAAATCTGAGCGCCTGACACGAATGGTCCTGTAGCCGTGGGTGGCTTGCGTAGCAATGTCCTCCTGAGCTTGTCACGGACATCTTGACGAATAAGAGCCACACGAGCTGTTGTACGCATCTTGTGTGCACGAGCCACCTCACTGTCTGCAGATAGGCCTTGAACGAAGCTCATCCCAACATCATCTGCAGTCAAGCTCGGCCATTTGTGCTCAATGCCAAACACCCTTTGATTCGGAGTGTAACCGTCTTTGGTCAAGGTAGCATTCTTCGCCATCACTGCACAGGACAAAGCTTTCTTCATTTGGGTATAGCCAGTGATGCCACGCTCATCAACAATCGCCTGAAACATGACTCCCAGTGTGGCTCCGTGACGCTCTCCCGCGCTCAACTGCCATGCTGCATGTGCTCCTGTCACCTTTGAAGGGATCTAGATCTTCGAGGAGGGCATGGAACGACTGTTCGAATTCTCCTCCTTGGTCATGGGTGACTTGAGCGGGGCATCCATAGAGCGCTATCCAGTGTCGCAAGAATTTCTCTGCCACATAGTCGGAGCGGCGGTTCTTGAGCATGATCGCATCGTGCTTGATGGTACCTAAGTCTAGAATGCTCAAGCAAACATACTTTTTCTTTCTGGAGTCGTACAGGTACTTCAGGTCCAAATGAAGGTGCACGTTGAAGCCAAATGGTCTTGTGGATACAGTTGAAGGCTTCGGGTGTCTTGGTGCTTGTCGTGCAGCACAAACTGAGCAATGAAACTTGCTGGCATACCTCAATGCATCTTGGCTGGCACCGCCCATGAACATACGAGTCAAAGAAGCACGAGTTGGGTGTCCCAGCTGTCTGTGAGCAAATTCAACAGCTGTGCGAGTTTCGGCACTGACTGGATGACGTTCATCGTCCTCTGGGCCTTGTTGCTCAGTGCCATGGAAACGAAGGGTGTCATCAAGTTGAGCTTCTTGGCGACTCTTCTGCTCCTCAATGTAGTCTTCACCAGCCATCCAATCGGGGACCGTGTCTTCAATCTCATAGTCCTCGGTGAAAGCCTCATTGGTCTTGTGAGTCAGCCATGCTTCAGCTCCCTTCAAAAGTGCAGTGCAAAGCTCCTTGGGATAGCCACCAGCAAACTCTGCCAGCGATGCCCATTGACCTGTTTTGGTCCTGTAGCCGCCTTCAATGATGTGGTGTTCATGGTCACCTGGGCACATCTTATTTTTGAGCTCGGTCAGGGCACCATCTTCTCCAGCGATAATGGTGCGCTTCCTCATAGGCATGTGGTTGTTCGGATGTGCTAGGCCAACCTGGCATTGATCAAACTGAACATGTGCCAAACCATCGAAGGCCTCCTCAATCTCTGGAGTCTTCCAAGCCTTGGACGTGGCTGGGTTCTCGCCGAAGACCAGGCCGCCCCTCCGTCGTTGCCAAAGAGCAGCACGGCGGGTGAAGGACAAAACTGTCCGACGGGCCTGAAGGCGCTTACGCTGCAAAGTCAATCGTTGAGCCTCAGTCCTCATGCTGATGTTCTGAAGCGGACTCCATGGGCTGCATGGCCAAGCGATCATCAAGACATCGGGCTCGACCTCCTGGATGTACTTCATTGCCTTGTTCTGGCCGTCCATGGTGCTGACATCCCAGCCTGACTCCAAAGAGATTGGCTCCCAAGCTTCCCAACATCCTCGCTCGGTGGCAGTGATTGACAGCATACATGACCATGTAAAGAGCTCGAGAATGCGCCACCTTGAGCGAACTGAGGGCTTGGTGCTGCGTGCGATGAGAGCAGGCTTGCAAGAAACTTCAATCGCAGCTGCATCGGCAATCTGGTTTGCTGCATTGAGAAGACGCTTGCGCTGACCTTTGGTCAAGATCTCATTCCCCTCCTGCGTGAGGCCGGTTGTGAGGGCGTCTTCAAAGCGGTCAGGTTCTCCATCAGAGTCTGACGTGCTCTCATCAGCTGATGATGGTCCATCTTCGTGGGATGACTCAGATTGGCCTGAAGAGAACGAGCCATGGCTGTCTGAGTCTGTACTGTCGTCATGGGGCTCCGCCTCCTTGATGGGGACCTTGTGCACGATCTGGTCCAAACCACTGATGGCCTCATCTTCCATGTGGCTCTGCCACAGAGCAAGATCTTCAAGATCTGATTCTGGCTCAGCCAGGGAGTAGAAAGACACCTCAGAGTCATCTGAAGATGTCACCTCCTGCTTGGAGGGAGAAAGCTCATCTTGGCTCTGCCAAAGCGCCAACTTGTGTGGATCTGCTCGTAGGACAGCTCGAAGTTCTCGAAGTTCGGAGGTGTTCCAATCCTCTGCCTTGCCATCTCCAAGAATCTCGAGAACAGGGTGTCGAGTTGGTGAGAGCTCCGTAGGTGTGCTGCAGCCATCGATCTCCGTCATGCCCTTGGCGAAGTCCATAGTGACTTTCCAGCGCGCCAGCTCAGAAGGTCCAACCAATGCCGGGCAATTTGAAATCCGGGGATCCTGCTTGGTGTCATCAACCACAGCAACTCTCAACCACGATCGGATGCCAGTTCCTCCCAAGACCACCGGATAGAGACCAGCTTCCGTTGACAGAACTGGGGCTCCAGCACCGAAGCGGAAGGTCTCCTCGTGCTCCAGCACCTCATAGGGAAGATCGCGCTGGTCCAGGGCCTGGCGCATCTTGACGTGCCACTTTGCACCAGCGACTGCAGTGCGGCATCCACTGTCCAAGATCACTTTATGGGCTGCGTGCTCCAGCATCCAAACATCCATGGGATCCTCCTCCAAGACCGTCTCGGCGGTGAGTGCACCATGGTCCATGCTGTAATAGAGCACCTTTTTCAACTTGCAAGCCTTGCAAGAAGCCCAATGTGCGGCACCGTTTGCGCCCCACCTCAAGTTCTGCCACAAGTGAGGGCACTTCTCCTGTTCTGGAGTTGGCAGCTCTGATGCTTCTGAAGGTCGAACTCGCCCTTTTCGATCCAAGGCACCATCGTAGAGGTCTTTCCTGAACTGCTTGAGACGCTTGCGCCGAACTGGCTCAGGAAGATCACTTGTCGAAGCTGGCTCTGGTGGTGGGGTGGTCGACGAGCTTGCTGCCTTATAGCCTCCATCATGCCGCTTGTCTGATCTCTTCAGCTTCTCGGCCGTCTGATGCTGGTCCAAGTATCGTGCGGCTTCACGATCTCTTTCTGCCTTCAGCTCCTTGTACAGCTTCCTCTTCTCTTCTTTTGACATGTACGGGAGGATCTCCAGCATATCGGCCGGTGCGAGGTCGGTCTCCATTGCCACGGGCTTCGATCCTTTTGCTTTGCTCTTTGCTTTTGCCAGCTCTTTCTCCTTCTCTTGCAACTGCTCTTGCTTCTTCAACAGCTTCTTCTTCAACTTGAGATCAGACTCATCAACTTCTTCTGCCAAAGCGGAAACCACTGTGCGAAGAGCTGCTTTATATTTGGAAGCCTTCTTCTGAGCAGATGCTTCTTCTGACGATTTGCCGGCACTGAATCCAAGAGGTTCTTCTGGCTCTGAACTGCTGCTGGGTGAAGAGACGGCTGAACTGGAGTCCGAAGAATAGGCCTTGATGCGCTGCCAACCTTCCATAAATGTCCAGTTCACCTTGTGCACATTGAGTCCCTTGGTGCTCCAAGTGTGCCTGTTGCCGTCATCCTCCTCCTGCTTGACTTCCTCTTTCGCTGCCACGCGCCGTAGGCGAAGTGTCGGTGGTGAAGTTGACCTGCGACTTTGCGGGATCATCTCGTGGAGGGTCAGTCCCATTCTTCACATTTGGACACTCCGGATCACCATGCCAGTGTCCAATCTGTTTGCATGATGCACACTTGGACTTGGCCTTCCGCTGGTCCTTCGTGCGGTACTCCACGAATCTGCCACCACCCTTCTTGCCCTTTTTGCCCTTGCCCTTGGACTTGGCATCGCTATAGCCACGTGCTTTGCGAGCTTCAGCGGACTTCTGCTTGGCACGCCATCCTGCCGCATAGGCTTCTCTCAAGTCCATGCCATCATCATCCCAATCCCAGTCGCCTTCTTCATCTTCGTCATCCCAGTAGTGATCCTGCTGGTAGGCCTCCTGTTCCAAGTCTTCATTGTCAGCCTCATCGTCTTCGTTCTCGTAGTAGGCCTCATCATCACCTTCTTCCTCTGGGATGCCCTCCTCGTCATCGTCCCAGTCCGGCTCCTCCTTGACATTGGCGAGATGTGCGCGAGAGGATAGGTGAGGTTTCGGGCGATTTGACTTGGAGGTTGATGAAGTCTTCCATCGGCGAGGATGATGGCGCTTGTCCTGAGGGCGGTACTTGGCCTCATCGAGATGGACATTCGAGCATCTGAACCTGAGAACCTTCTCGATGGCATTGGATGCATACTTGCCGCCAGCACTGTAGAAGATATCCATCCTCTCCTTCTTAGTGAGGGAAGCACGGGATAGCATTCTCTGGGCAAAACTCTTGTCCGACAGCGTGGTGCCTGTATCTTCTGCCAGGTACTCTGTTCGAAGTCTCTTCAAGGTGCTGATGTAGGAAGCGACGCTCTGTCCTGGTGCACGGCGATACGTCAAATAAGCTTCCTGGCGCTCTTCGAAGCGTTCATCAGATCTGGCACCATATGACTCCTCAAGCAGCCGCATGACTCGGTTGAGTCCTCCTGGCTCCCT